GGTTTATGCAGATGCCTGACAAAGAATGCAAATTTTAGGAAATATACTAGAATACTTTTGCAATAGTAATAACTTTACTGCCATCAAAATTTACAGCAAAAATAAACTTTGTCTGCAGGAAAAAACAGGCTGAGTGTAACCCAGTAAAAAACTTCGATTTTGACCTCATTTAGCACGACAATTTGCTCCATAAGAACTTAGAAAAAGCACGATTTTAACAACATATAATCTTTTGATACAAGAGGCATTACTTTCCGGCACTCACTGCTTATCCATAATCGCACCATAGCAGCGTAGGGATTTCTGGGATCCGGTCCAGCTGTGAGGTGATATCGTGGATCCATATCAGGCAGAATCGTTTCGATTCGCTCGCTAAACGGTGGTTTCTCTCGGCTTTCACCAAATGCTGAAGGCTCGGTAGGACTGTCAGCAACCAGTGTCGATGGAGAAATGGAGCCCTTTCCACTGATGGCCTGTTCTACTAAGTCTTTTAATCCTGACCCCCTAAGTAGGGTTAATTGCAGTCCTCCTGGGATTGAAAGACCACCTAAAGCTTCACAGGTGAGTGTGGCATTCTCTCCTGGATTCCCTGTTGCGTAGAGTTTTGTCCCAGCGGCCACAAATTTCGGCAGCAGAATTATTGCTGGCAAAAGACTACAATCAAACATGAATTGATTGATAAGCACTACATACATTAGAAGCTTATTTTCTCCAGTCGAGCAAAAATGTAGCCACCCAATTGGTCACCTTTTAAATGCACTTTCATTGTTTTGTAAGCGATGCGAGAAAAAATTGGCTTAATGCTTACCTATCTTTGCCGTTCACTATGACGAAATTAAATATCAGAGCATTTCAACAACAACAAAAATATTTTGCTGAGGAATCACGATAACAAAATACAATAGCTAGGGATTGACCCTAAAAGATATCAAATCATCACTAACATGGAAAAATTACTCGACGGATCTCGAGGTTTGCAGTGGTACAGCTAATCAAGACATTAGGCTCACCCACATGGTCGAATGCTAAAGAGCTCCCAGTCAGAGCATCAAAGTAGCACGTTTGAAATCAGTTCCTCTAAGTTTTCAATTTTTCTCTTGCTGGAGCGGTTGTTGGTCCTCTCGGTTAGCCTGTCAAATCCCACCCCTCCATTCTCCACTTTTCATAATG